CGCTGGCCCCCGGGGGGGGGAAGGCTCAGCCCACACCGGGCCCCCCCTCCGGCCGAGGTCGGTGGGCACCGTATTTACAGGAGTGTGTGCGGTGACGTGCGGTGACGGCAGCGTGGGCAGGGGGAGGGTGGTGGGTGCAGGCGTGGAGCAGCCGCCCCCCACACCCCGTGCAGCCCCTCTGTGCCCCCCCCAAATCCCGAGGGGGGGGGGCGGTTTGGCTGCGATTGGGGCGGGGGGGGAGAATCGATGCAGAGCGAAGCGAGTGGTGCGGCCCCCTCCTCCCGGGGGGTCCCATGCAGGGGTGGGGAGGGGGCAGGCAAGGCCCCGGTTGTGGTGGGGGGGGAGTGGGCACCTTCCCCTTCTTCCTCGGGTCTGTGCGGGGTGGGGGACGCTGCTAAAACTGCCCCCCCCGTGCCCCTTACCTACCCTTTTTTTTTGGGGAGGGGGGGCACCCACTGTCCATGGCAGCTGCCCTGCGGGGGGAATGAGCCAGCCTGCGATGCGGGGCCGGGGGGGGGGGGGCCCGGGGCAGGGGGGGGAAGGGGAGGGGGGGGCCCCCGGGTTTCCCAAAAGTTTTCGGGGGGGGGGGGGGGCCCCGGGCATCCTGGCCGCCGGGCCCGCCCCCCCCCCCCCCAGCTCTGTGCTTATGGCTGAAGACGTGCCCGGGGAGAGGGGGGGGGCCCGGGCGCGAGGAAGCTGCCGGTGCCGAGGAGATCCCCGAGAAGGGAGATTGTCTGAGCACCCCCAGCGCGGGGCTGGGGGCGAGGGGGGCAGCGCCCGGGCTTTGTAGGGGGAAGGGGGCCGGTTCCCAGCCGTGCCCCCCCCCCCCCCCCTCCCCTCCCCTCCCCACCCCTAATAGCTGTCCTTGGCCCAGGGCCGGCTGCGCTGCCAGTTCCTGTCGTGGTTGCGCTCGCCCGGGCGCTCCGGCGTCCCGGGGCCGCTGCCGTGGTGCCGGTGGGGCTGGTACAGGTCCGGGTAGGGGTCCCCGTACTCCTCCTCCTCCTCCAGGTGCCGGGAGCTGCGCTGGGACGTGGCCCCCCAGGGCTGGGGCGAGGTGTCCCCGGCCTCGTCCGAGGGCATCAGGCTGTCGTGCTCCAGCGGCGAGTGCTCCCCCCGCTCCCCCAGCAGCTGCTGGCTCTGCGGGCACGGAGGGGTTGCAGGAGTGGCATGAGGGGGGCTGTGTGCCCCCCCCTGCCCTGGCACCCCCGTGCTGGGTCCCCGGGGGGAGCGGGGAGAGGGGCTGCGTGTCCCCAACCCTGATCTGTGCACCTCCCACCCCGGTCTGGGGACCCCTGTGCTGAGTCCCCGTGGGGAATGGGGAGGGGGCTTTGGGGACAGTGCAGGGGGACTGTGTGTCCTCCCCAGTCCATGTGGGGAGCAGGGAGGAGGCCGTGGGGGTACCTGCAGGCCCGGGAGGCCGGTGGGCGAGGGGACGGCGTGGGGGGCGTGCGGGGGGTGGTGGGTGGCCCTCCAATACACCTCCAGATACTCGGCCAGGTGCTCGCAGGCGTCCTCCAGCTGGTTCTCATCCAGGATCACGTCGAAGAGCTCCTGGGGGGGGGGGGGGGGGGGAAAAAGGGGGCCGGGGGGGGGGCTGGGGGCCCCCCCTGGGCATCCCCAGGGCGGGGGGATCGGGCCAGCTCACCGGGGGACACTGCACCAGCTTGTCGGCTGCCATCATCTGCACGTTGAGGTGCTTCACCTGCGACTTCCCCCGCGACTTGATGAGACGCTGCAGGACCTGGGGAGGGGAGAGGGGAGGGTGGTGGCACCAGGGGGGGCAGCTGGGAACCCCCCCAGAGCCACGGTCGCCCCTCACCTTGGGCGAGGACACCTTGACGTAGACAATGATGGGCGCCAGGGAGGTCTTGGCCAGCTGGGCCGGGTGGTTGATGGTGTCGGCGTCCAGCACCACCAGCTGCAGGGACTTGGCCAGCTCGAAGATCCGCTCGATCTCGCTTTGCACCTCGGCTGGGGGGGGTCAGGAGGGGGCTGTGTCAGGCT